CTGAATGAACTTTAAACAATGTTTCATTTCTATATGTTTTGTTGAAATTTAACCTTTTATTTTCACCGAGTTCGGCCAAAGATTGAACGTTAAATGGTCGTAAGTAAAAAGGGTTGTTGTATTTGCTTACATTTTCTTTCAGTACTTCCATTCTATGCTGAATATTTTCATCTGGTGTTGGAGTCTTTTGTATGTCGGCAAACATTTTTCGATATTCTTCTACTCTGTCAGCCGAATTTTTCTTAGACTCTTGGAAAGATTCCATATTCACCTCATACTCTTGTTGAGGGTCAAGATTTTTCGGCTGTTCCAAATCTTCATCTAGTTCTGTGAAGTTAGTTTCCAAAGGAGTGACTTGTTCGTTTCCTTCAGGCTCTTCTAGCTGTTGTTGCTGAACTATTTCTTCCATGTCTGGTTGTATCTGAACTATTTCTTCCTGTGGAGTTTCTTGTACCTCATCTGCTGGCATTTCATATATTCCGAGACCGTTTTCAACAAGTTCCCTTTCTAAGTCATCCGGACTCATAAACCTTTCTTCTTTCGTTCCGTCTCTATTTTTTACGCGTTTCATGAAGAGAGTTAAATTGTCATTTAGCTCTGACATCAAATATCTCGGAGTAAATTCGTTCATGTCATTTGGATGATATGCTATTAAATCATATCCCTTAGCGAGCTTGTATTTTCCAGGTTTGAGATTATATCCCCTTTGGTGCAGAGCCATAAAGCTAAATAGGTTCGGGTCAGTATTTCCATCCTTGAACTTTCTAATAGCTTCTTTATATCTGTCACTAAAGTCAATAGTATCTGGGTAACCATAGTCTTCCTTTAGCATTTTTAAGAATTCTTGGTTTCCTTGTTCTCTACTTCTTTGATGTCCTTGCTCTGTTTGTGGTTGTTGCTGTGCAGTGTTTTGAACTGTTGGTTGTGGTGCAGTGTTTTGAACTGTTGGTTGCTGTGCTGGTTGTGGAGGTGGTTGTTGTGTTGGTTTTGGTGCATGCCTGTGTCTGTGTCCATGTGACGATGTAAATGTTCTAGGTAGTCCTGGTGCAGGTGCTTCTCTTGGAGGGTTTGGTGGTATATAAGTTCCACCAGCTGGCACATATGTTCCATCTGCAGCGTAATGTCCTACCTGACTTTTCGTTTTTAAGAAAGCATTTACTAGGTCTGTTTTGGTCTGTTGTAACTCTTTTTCTTGACTTTTCACAACAGTTGCTCTAACGGCGTCATAGGCACTTTGAACTGCCTGTCTCGTTGCTGCATCTGTTATTTTCGTCATATTTTGTGCTACTTCTTTTAACTCTTTGTCGAAACCTTCAGACTTCAGTTTCTTTCCAGATGAGAAGTCGTTCACTTGTTTCACCTTACTATGAAGAGCTTCGAAGGCGTTCTTAAAGTCAGCATTTGTTAAAGCTTCATTTGAACTGTCTTCATCCGCTTGTATTTTTGTCCTTATTGACCTATGAGTTGGGCTGCTTTAGCGTTGGCTTGGGCATCTAACCAGTCATTGTTAGCTTTTATATATTCTGCGCTTTTCATTGCCTTTTGCATGGCTGCGTCGTTATTTTTACTTTCTTGTGCTAAGTTTTCATACTGTACGGTTTGGTTTTGCAACTGTAAAAGTTTTTCTGCCTTTACATTTGCTTCAACTTCTTTTTTATACTCATCGCTATCCATATATGTCTTCAGGGCTTTTTGTTTTATCTCTTCATCTTTCAGTACTTTTATTGAGTAGTATGGTTTTTCAAATTTACAACATCTTGTTCCATTTTTTGCTACTTCTGCTGCTTTTCTGACACTTTTTTCGCATATTCCTCTGTACTTAGTTCTTTCAGTTGTTCTTCTTTCTTCTTTTCTCTACGTTTAACTCATTGAGTTTCTTTGTGTGTCTGTCATATTCTAGTTTCTTTTCGTTTTCACTTATTTGCTTCTGTATGTCTATGTTTGACTTTTTGACATCTGCTATTTGATTTTGAGTGAACTCAAATTCATTTGACTTTGAGGGTTATATGCTGTTCCGTCTGCAGCTCCACCATAGCCTGCCATTTTCGCTAAAAGTGCCGCTCTTAAACCTCCACTCTGTGCACCAACAACTCGGTTTAAAAGCATAGGATTGCTTGACATTTGTTGCAACATAGTGGGGTCATTCATCATTTGTTGTTGCAACTGTTGTTGTGGTGTTAGTCTTACTATTGGATGTTTCAATGCTCTCTTCCTCTTACGTATATTCTTACGTAGCTTACGTGGCATTTAAGTGAAGTTAAAAAGCGTCATTTGACAGATGTTTATATGACATTTTTTCCGGTTTATAGGACCTCTCTCATATTCTATCTTGTTAAGATTTCCTGGACTGTTGTCAAAATGTCATGTTGTCTCATTTTTTCAGAGAAGTTCGTTTAACCGAGGGACCGAGGGACCGAGGGACCTGGTGTTATACTAAACATCTTCAGGGGCTAGAGGGGCGCAGCCCTGGAAGCCCCAATACCTTTTTTTTTTTTTAAATATTATGGATAAATAACACTAAGGAAAACTTTGGAATCTTCAATTTTAAGGATACCCTTACGTGTCAGATTTTTTGCGCATACGAAGAAGTCATGCTAGACATGAGCTATAAACCTGAAATTTTAGCAACATATTTAAAACTTTTTAAACTACAATACACTTTAATATTCAAGAACAAAAATATTCTTTTTAGAAATTACATAATTATTTTATGTGAAATCTATATAAAAACATATTTTGCGAGCGTAACTTTTTTCTTTATAAGCACCTTATATGACTGATAAACTGTGAAGGCACATAATTGTTAATTCATAGAGTTGATATGTTTCCAAAATTGAGAGGAAATTTGAAAATTGAATACCCTTTCAATTCAATTTTCAAAAGATATCAGCTCCTTCAATAATTGAAGGACGATTTTGATCATTTGCTCTTAAAACAAGTATGCCATGGAGAAAAAAGTTACGCTCGCAAATCTGAAATATAACTATCATATAAAAAATTAAATTTCTAATTTTTACTCTATAGATATTATTGGCCACTTGTGTAATGCATAAAAGTTTATGTCATATGCATACATTTGGAAGTATGGAGACGAGGGAAATTACTTCTATGAGGCACTAGGATTTTTAAAAATTTCTCTATCGGACTCACTATTCAATTTCTCGAAAATTAAAAAAAATCAATAATAGCTAAAATGTATTATGCATAACAAATTTTAATGTTACACGGTATTTTTTTGAACTTCATGACATGAATTTTCTTTATATTATTTTTTTTTTTGGATTTTCTATGATTTATGCGATAGGCTGGAACAACATTGTAAGTGCAATGATATCATTTATAGGAAATCTAAAACTTCAGCATTCAGAACTCGCAACCACAAAAATATTCATTTGCTAAGTAAGTAAAGTTGATTAAGTTCGACACTTAGCTTTTATACGTAAAACCAAGTGTGTATTGTTATTTCTTGTTAAATTATTGAGAAAAAATAAATTGTAAGAGAAACGATACTGATTATTGAAATAATATTGAGGGTAGCTGCAGATTTCTTCATTAACATGCCGGAAATTTGTTAATCTTGGTTTTCTATCATAAAATCTGTCGAAGAATCTAAAAACGGAGATATGAAATAGAGATCATGTAAATCTAGAGTATCCTGTCAGAAAAATAGACTAAGCATGTAACCCTTTTTGGTCATAAACACTTTTTACCACTTAGTCATACAGATGATCATTAAATTTAAACGAGCACTTTTTTGTCAGAATTTATTCTTTTACAAAGACAGAAGATTTTAGTATTATTTAATATTAGTGCTGTAGCAAAATTCAAAAAACGGTGAAAATTCAGTGAATTTGTGAATTCACATTTTTTTTCGACATTTTTCTTGATATATCCATGCACATTAAGAACACAGCTTTGATACGCTTAAAAAAGCATATTTCATATGAAATTGTTAAAGAAATAAACAATTTATATAAAAATTGCACTTATGGGCAGTTTAGATATATAATTTATATATAACATATATACAAATCCATAGACAAAGTGCAATAACTACAATGTTGTAGAAAATTACAGCAGAAATACTGACTTTTTGAAGGATAATAAGAATTCTTCTAAATGTTGTATTTTTTAATTTGATTGATTTTTTTACTATTTCATTAATCTTTTATGAATAATAATTATTTTTAATATATGTGCTATTAAAATTTCAAATTTTGACTAATATATCTAAGTTATCTGAACGAAACATTTAGAAAATATCATACTTACATTGAAATAGCAAGTAGAGCATATTAATAGCAAGTTTCTTGGCTTTATATCTATCATCTATTGTTGTTTGATCAAACAAAATTCACTCTATTATATGGTGTCAATTAATTAAAACAATTTTTAATAGTTATTTATTTAGTGCGAATAAGTGCAAACTCATAAATGAATAACTTAATAGTAGAAATGAATTATCTGATATAAATCTCACATTTTGTCCATCAGAAATACTTTAATTGCATACGCATAACTATTAGTAATACGTCTGGAGTGTCAATTAATAACAATCCCACAACAAGTAAAATTCAGATTTTTATTAAACTTATTTTTTCCTAAAAGTTTTCTCAAATTACTATATATACATATGTGGATAAAATAATAGTAATATTGTAAAAAATTAGATAATTTTTTTATTTGAGAACCTCTCAAAAGTTCATTCAATTTATCAATTGTTTCAGTTTGATGTATATTCATTTCTGGAGCTCAAAACTTTAGCAATCATGACAATATCATATTCTCTTTCTAACTACGCAATGTAAGGGTATCCTTAAATAAATATAGCATCTGAAAGCCAAAATCAATCTCAGTATATATGCACCCTTTCCAATAGATATAAATTTATTCAAACAATACTGATTAAAAACAAAATTTACATTGCCAGAAATCAATAATTTGACACTTTACAAGTACACAATTTATATTATTTTTGAGAGATAATCTGACCTTTTCTCATGGAAACAAGCCAGGAGCAAGTTAAGTTAGCTGTTGTTAAGCAAGTTATCGGCCGTACAGGTTCCCGCGGTGGTGTTACACAGGTTCGCGTCGAATTCCTTGATGACTCAAACCGTTCCCTTGTTCGTAACGTTAAGGGCGCCGTTCGCGAGGGTGATATCCTTTCACTTCTTGAAACAGAGCGTGAAGCACGCCGCCTTAGATAAACTATTCTAAAGAATACTTTTTAAAATCGATACGTTATACCATTAATTCCAATATTTTTTTAAAAAATATTTTTAATATTTTTTTAAAGTGTAAAAACACAATAGATACTTACATTTCCAAGCATCAAAAAACACTATGATGAACTATGTAATAAGAAAATTGATATTTTTCGTGGAATCTATGCATCTGAAATTTTACAAAATTCATTCTTTACATGTCAAACTGCATATGATGGCAAATAATGAATATAATCACACACTAATTTTCAAGATCAGATTCAACAGTATCTGGAAATTTACTGCTGGATTTATGCAGACAACAAAGTACATTTTCGAAAGAGGTGCTGAGAAAATACAGGTAGTCGTAAATGAACTCCTTCTATCCATATGAAGTTGTATATGCACTGTTAAGTAATTGAAGACATAGAGCATTTCAATTTCGTTTCTTTTCGATTGAAAACATAAGACGGGAAAATAAAATGTGCTCATTCAAAATTGAATATGAGTTGACAGTATAAGGATAGTTATATCCAACAATTTTTGAGGCAATCTGAAATTCATTTGATGGAATTCCATTTTCATTCACCATACTCTGAGCATATTCTTAACTATAACACAGATGATAACTGCACAATAGAAAACCAAGGTGTGCAGTACACAGTAAGCATGCCATATGCAGTAATGGCATTTTTCAAAATTTATGATTCTTATCAAATGGAAAAGACATGCCGATCATTCGAAATTAATTGCAATCTGGAAACAGATGAAACTAAGCTATTACTTGAATCATTGCTTACAAAAGGATCAATATTTGTTAAAGATGTCACTCTCGAACTCCTTTCATCTATCACTAATATTGCAGTTGAACTTAATTTTCCAATGTTAAAAGATTACCAAAGAAAATTATCAAGCAATATTTGAATTCACAAACAGATTAGGCGATTATTCACAAGTATTAGAATTTATAATAAGCACGTTTAACACGTATAATGAAGAAAATATTGCAAAGTCATTAATTAAATTTGGCACTAAATTCGCTGTTGATCTATTTTCTTCTACAAAATTAACTGTGAATAATGAAAACCAAGTTGCTAATGTTCTGATTAAGATTATCAAAACAGATAAATCTTTCTCATGTGCTTTAGAATGTCTCTATCTTGAGTGGCTCACTGATGATAAATTACAAGAACTTTTTAACTTCGTTGAGAAAGGAAATATAATTCCATAAACACCTTCAAGAATTCGAGACCATTTCTCCTTAAAACTAAGTACCCAAGGAATGCTATCATATTAAATTATTATTCTTGCCAAAAAAATGTTGTTGTAGTTTCTGCGGATTATCCAAACGAAACTGATTCTATTAAAATTAATGGAGTCTATATTCCAATTAAAAAATTAATTGGCTCTAATTATGTTTTTAGCCAACTAAACACTGGTAGCACAAAATGTATTCAATATTACAATTACATTTAAATGTTACTTCCTATAAAATTATAAGTACAACTATTTAAACAACAATTTTTTAAAGTTCAAATCACTTCTTAATTTTGAAAGCTCCAAAAAGAAGTTTTCATAAATATCAAATTTAATATTATTAAAAAAACTATCTGTTATATGCTTGATTCATTAAAATATCATTGAGCTTATTATAAATTGTTGTCTAAAGCTTGTAGATAGAGTTTGCAGATTAGAATCTTTTGTGATATAGCTTCAAATGAACTCCTTATTTAGTAATTTACAATGCTTATACATATTATAATTAGTTAATACTCCAATTTACGTATTATGTCAGTCAAGAACACAAGATACAGAAGGAGTTCTGGATTTGGAAGGTGACGATTATTTTCTATCGTCTCTGTCAGAAGAATGCGTTCTCTGCAGTCCCGCGATCGCTTAACTGTAACAGAACGTGAAGATCCAGATTCTTATACAGCAGAAAGGCGTTGGATTCTTGGTTCCAGGCTTCAACCTGTTTCTCCTGTTGAAAAAGTGATGAGACTTCCGAAAAACACTACTCATTTCGTCCAGAACGGTCCATACTCGATCACCGTCAACGACTACAAAAATTTATTCTTACAAGTAACTCGAACATCCGGAAATAAAGCCGAAGAAATTAATTTAGAATCAAATGTTGAAATTATCATTCCTTCTCCAGCAGAAGGCTACTTCCTTGTATCACTCTCTAATCAACCGCTTAGACTCATTGAACCAGATGGAAGGCAGCGTCGTTTTCCTCAAAATACTTTTCAATTGACAACAACTTCATTCGAATGGATAGATAACAGAGATAGTCTTTTACTCCTTGCAGGCACTATGTTCGGTCACATCGACTGTTTTACAATTACACGAAGTAATATCGTAGATAATCAATTTATTATTGACGAACACAAAGCTCCTATCTCATCTCTTGCCTATTTAGAGTACCATGGTGAGAAATTCATCTTAGTTGGCACATTCTTTGACCTAATTATCCTTAAATGGAGCGATTACACTAAAAACCCTGAACATTACAAGACAATCGAGCGCATAAGCGAGAAAAAGATTTGTATCCCATCGTTCGTCATTACAAACCAGAAATACATTGCTTGGCTGACAAATGAAGATCTTCGAGTGTTTACTCCCGAACAACTACTACATTCTGACAATGAATGCAAGCGTATGCCATTCGAGCATCTCAAGCACATTATCCAGATCGAGCCACAGATCTTCCTTTCCCAATTAAACCGTCCATGCGTTATGAGTAAACACCATGTCATTATTGCAGCGCCAAGTGTGGTCGTAGGCTTCGATTTGAAGACCCTGGAAACCGCTTTTCGCTTTCCATTCACAAATACGATTACTTCGATGTTTTTAACGCCAAATCTACTTTCTATTGTAACTACATCACACTTATACAAGATAGATCTCGCAGACGAACGAGAAATCTCACCAATTGTCTTAGTTTCGGATGTAAAAAATCAGATGATCCAAAAGAAGCAAACAAGCGAAGGCGTTACATTGGCAGAACTTCTTTCGGCTCTACTTGAGAATAATGACTTCAAAGGAGCAATACAAACACTACACAACGCTTTAGCAAATATTCCACTTCCGAAAGTCGACGACAACGAAAATGTACCACTCAGCGAAGAAGCTGTAGAAGAAATATGCATAGAATTCTTACTTTACGAGCTCAACGTCATTACATTATGCAATAAAGATGAAAAAGTCGACTTAAAACCATCGAGAGTAATAAATACGAATGGCAAATACGATATGCTAGCCTCTCTTGCACATCTGCTTCGCCTCAGAGAGTTCTCAAGAGCAGGAGACAAGATTCGAGATGAAAGTGTCATTACTTCTCTTGGTAGAACCGAAACCGCGGTTGCAATGTTATTAGAAAAGGCATACAGCCAATCCGAGCACGACGCCCATATCCTAAGCGCTCTTAATTCTGCATTATTGATTCATCCAGACGAACAACAGTATCTTGTAGAGTCAATCAGTGCAAAGAAGCGCGAGGAAGCAACATCTATACTCGAAAACAACTCCGCCGCTTTCAGCGAAGCCATCCTTTGCTTCTTAAAACCTTCAACTCCGAAAGATGTCGCTGACAAAGTGACTTCCTTCATTAGCGAAGATCGTAAACGCGATATAATAAAATTACTGACCCAGAAAGGTCTCGACGACAAGCAGAAAGACACAATTGTCAACGCATTAGATATCTTGATCGAAATTGCCGAAAAAGAGAAGCTCCCGAGCGTAATTATGCGTTACAGAGAGATCGTTGAGGACCACTGCAAGTCCAAAGACATCAACGACATGAAGGTTCTCTCAGTTTTGAATTTTTCAATGCCATATTTGCCCGGCCAATTATCTACGAATATGTGTCTTGCGATTATTAAAGACATTGCGACATCGAAAAACAAGTTTTCTTCGATTGATATCGCATTATGGAACTTGGCATTGGCAAATGACGAACCAGCGGCCAAGAAGGACGAAGAACTCCACAAGATGATAAAAGATGTCACTTTGGAGTTCCATATTAACAATGTTCCGGAGACTTTTGAGCATTTAATAAGGAGAGGATTGTATATCTCAGCTGCTGATGTTGCTTTACAGGCAAAGATGTATTCCAAAGCCGTTTACGCTGTTTCCTGCTATCCGCATGAAGCAGAAAACAACAGAAGAGAAATATTAATTCGAAGATACATCAGAATGACTCCTAGATCGATGTGGCAGGACTTGTGCAAGAAGTACAATGTTTCACATATCGACGAAGAGGAGAAAGATGGAGAAGGACCAAGCCAAGCAAGATTAGTTGAAAAATTCAAGGATTTGCGTCAGAAAATCAAAGATTTGAGGAACAAAGCGGCCGAATCAGCCGATTTCCTCGAGCAAATCAACAATTGGGGTGACGTTTTGCCTCAAGCAAGCGAAAGATGCGCTGAATGCGGAAAACAAATCGGAACAGAACAGGCTTACGCGTTTTCATGCGGACATACATTCCACGCAAGTTGTATGAAGGCTGCTGCGTTCGATACTTTGTCTGTTTCGAATCAGAACAAATTGCTGTCGTTTAAATCATCGAAATTGACACCTGAAGAGAGGAAAATCGTTGAGGACATTCTCCTTGACGACTGCCCAAAGTGCGGATTGGCTTCTGTGAATTTGATCAGAATTCCGATTGTAACTAAATCGAGATGGGGACTTGAGTAATAATATATATTATGTATTATTTTTTCTATTTTATTTACTATATTTATAAAAAAAAGTATCTTTTTTCCTAATTTTGTTTTTTTTCCCTTTAATATGGTGAATAAATGCATGAACACCAAAAACGAAAGATTTAAGCGAGAAAATCAAGGGAATGCTAAAAAGGTTTAAAGATATTCATTTTTTCACACTTTCATACAAAAACTATTTACATTAAGGATACCCTTACGTGTCAGATTTTTTGCGCATACGAAGAAGTCATGCTAGACATGAGCTATAAACCTGAAATTTTAGCAACATATTTAAAACTTTTTAAACTACAATACACTTTAATATTCAAGAACAAAAATATTCTTTTTAGAAATTACATAATTATTTTATGTGAAATCTATATAAAAACATATTTTGCGAGCGTAACTTTTTTCTTTATAAGCACCTTATATGACTGATAAACTGTGAAGGCACATAATTGTTAATTCATAGAGTTGATATGTTTCCAAAATTGAGAGGAAATTTGAAAATTGAATACCCTTTCAATTCAATTTTCAAAAGATATCAGCTCCTTCAATAATTGAAGGACGATTTTGATCATTTGCTCTTAAAACAAGTATGCCATGGAGAAAAAAGTTACGCTCGCAAATCTGAAATATAACTATCATATAAAAAAATTAAATTTCTAATTTTTTACTCTATAGATATTATTGGCCACTTGTGTAATGCATAAAAGTTTATGTCATATGCATACATTTGGAAGTATGGGAGACGAGGGAAATTACTTCTATGAGGCACTAGGATTTTTAAAAATTTCTCTATCGGACTCACCATTCAATTTCTCGAAAATTAAAAAAAATCAATAATAGCTAAAATGTATTATGCATAACAAATTTTAATGTTACACGGTATTTTTTGAACTTCATGACATGAATTTTCTTTATTATTTTTTTTTGGATTTTCTATGATTTATGCGATAGGCTGGAACAACATTGTAAGTGCAATGATATCATTTATAGAGAAATCTAAAACTTCAGCATTCAGAACTCGCAACCACAAAAATATTCATTTGCTAAGTAAGTAAAGTTGATTAAGTTCGACACTTAGCTTTTATACGTAAAACCAAGTGTGTATTGTTATTTCTTGTTAAATTATTGAGAAAAAAATAAATTGTAAGAGAAACGATACTGATTATTGAAATAATATTGAGGGTAGCTGCAGATTTCTTCATTAACATGCCGGAAATTTGTTAATCTTGGTTTTCTATCATAAAATCTGTCGAAGAATCTAAAAACGGAGATATGAAATAGAGATCATGTAAATCTAGAGTATCCTGTCAGAAAAATAGACTAAGCATGTAACCCTTTTTTGGTCATAAACACTTTTTACCACTTAGTCATACAGATGATCATTAAATTTAAACGAGCACTTTTTGTCAGAATTTATTCTTTTACAAAGACAGAAGATTTTAGTATTATTTAATATTAGTGCTGTAGCAAAATTCAAAAAACGGTGAAAATTCAGTGAATTTGTGAATTCACATTTTTTTTTCGACATTTTTCTTGATATATCCATGCACATTAAGAACACAGCTTTGATACGCTTAAAAAAGCATATTTCATATGAAATTGTTAAAGAAATAAACAATTTATATAAAAATTGCACTTATGGGCAGTTTAGATATATAATTTATATATAACATATATACAAATCCATAGACAAAGTGCAATAACTACAATGTTGTAGAAAATTACAGCAGAAATACTGACTTTTTGAAGGATAATAAGAATTCTTCTAAATGTTGTATTTTTATAATTTGATTGATTTTTTTTTACTATTTCATTAATCTTTTATGAATAATAATTATTTTTAATATATGTGCTATTAAAATTTCAAATTTTGACTAATATATCTAAGTTATCTGAACGAAACATTTAGAAAATATCATACTTACATTGAAATAGCAAGTAGAGCATATTAATAGCAAGTTTCTTGGCTTTATATCTATCATCTATTGTTGTTTGATCAAACAAAATTCACTCTATTATATGGTGTCAATTAATTAAAACAATTTTTAATAGTTATTTATTTAGTGCGAATAAGTGCAAACTCATAAATGAATAACTTAATAGTAGAAATGAATTATCTGATATAAATCTCACATTTTGTCCATCAGAAATACTTTAATTGCATACGCATAACTATTAGTAATACGTCTGGAGTGTCAATTAATAACAATCCCACAACAAGTAAAATTCAGATTTTTATTAAACTTATTTTTTCCTAAAAGTTTTCTCAAATTACTATATATAAATATGTGGATAAAATAATAGTAATATTGTAAAAAATTAGATAATTTTTTTTATTTGAGAACCTCTCAAAAGTTCATTCAATTTATCAATTGTTTCAGTTTGATGTATATTCATTTCTGGAGCCTAAAACTTTAGCAATCATGACAATATCATATTCTCTTTCTAACTACGCAATGTAAGGGTATCCTTAAGTGTGAAATAACCAAAGCGGTCAATGACTTTACATTAGTTTTCTTTATCCTTGCCCAGATACTTCTGCTGACTACCTTACGGGCAACCTGCAAAGTGACTTCCAAGGCATCGGAAAATAATGTATTTTCGTGAGCCTACCTTAAGGGTGCACACGAGAGGATCATGTAAACTTCAGAATTTAGAACCTTATTTTTAGGCATTATCTTGGCTACCTATTTAGGCTCGAAAAGCAAAAAATATCAAAAAATACAACTTGACTCCATTATGACCCTTTCATGGAGGTAGTTTTTATCCGCTAGTATTTTCCCTTTGAATCTCTTTACAATTCGAAATCAAATTCAAACCTCAGTAGAAGAAAGGAAGAATCGACTTACTACGGTTGTAATACAAATAAATACATATATTTAATTATTTTTATTTACATAATAATTGTTTGAAGCTCATATTCCATCAAATTTTTAAATAAAAACATTAAAATGTTGAAAATGTTCATATATTTTAATAGGGTTTTGGCACTTTATTGAGGAATTACTACATACATAGTCGAACTGAACTTGATATTTTGAAATTTAAATTATTTATCAAAATTAAAATTTAACTTGAAATTTATAATTATTTAGTCATATTTTGCATAATTCTAAGTAGATTTTGTAAAAAATCAAGAAAGAAAAATTTTAACGTGCTTTATTTTTTCTTTTTTATAATAATACATATTATTATATAATTAACATATTCATAATGTTTCACCCTTTCAAAAATATAATCCTCCTCCTCTCAAATAAACGCACATACGGGTGGCCTCTTTTTTCAAAAAATTAAAATTTGAAATTTTGGGCTCAAATATTAGAGATTTTTTCAACCTTCAACGATATATGTTGTCTATATCAGACCTCCTTTCTTTTTGATACTTAACATTGTTCCTAAATCTTAGCCGTTAAGGCTGTTCTGAATAGGGTTGTACAAACTGGCACAATTTTGCGGGCCGCGTGCCAGCTCCTGGCAGGCGGCCAAAATCAAAAAAGTGGCCAAAAATCGGGCCTCGTGGCGTGGAAAGGGTGGAGCCCGAAGGGCGACATCCTTTCCACGCCACTCGGCCTATGACCACAATTATATAATATGCTCATTATTATTTTTTCTTCTTTTCTCTTCTTTTTTTTTTCTTTTTCTCTTTTCTTTCTTCTTTTTCCCTTTTCCCTTCCTTTTTTTCTAGTTTTGGAAAGGAAAAAGTAAAAAATTTAATAATTAATTTTATTACTATGAAAATATACTTTTTAGCTTATATTGTAAGCTGTGAGAGTTTTAAGTGATGGAAGATATAAATCAAATTTGAAATTCAACAAATCTTGTTATGATTAAGTTGAATATTGTACTCTAATTAAGAGTTTTCAGTTATGAACTCAGGTATTATATAATAAAAGTATAACTCAAGATAATAAAGAGGTTTTTAAAATGTAGATCTGAAAATCAAACTACCATGTTTGATATGATTAAGTTGAATAATGTTATTTTATTAAATGGTTCAAATCTGTGAAATCGGCAATTACAAATTAAAGGCGTAGTTCAAAAAATTAAAGAGATTTTAAAAATTTAATATCAGAATTAAACTAAAAAAAGGATTTAGTTATTTCAGTAATTATCAGAAAAGGTTAAAAAGATAGGGTAAGTAATGAGACTTGAGTGAGATGTGAGAAATCATATGTAAATAATTAGATATCTGATGAGTAAGGTCGGAGAGTTAAGATCTGGTTAGTAAGGTAGTAATGAGAGTTAAGATCTGGTTAGTAAGGTAGTAATGAGAGTTAAGATCTGGTTAGTAAGGTAGTAATGAGAGTTAAGATCTGGTTAGTAAGGTAGTAATGAGAGTTAAGATCTGGTTAGTAAGGTAGTAATGAGAGTTAAGATCTGGTTAGTAAGGTAGTAATGAGAGTTAAGATCTGGTTAGTAAGGTAGTAATGAGAGTTAAGATCTGGTTAGTAAGGTCGGAGAGTTAAGATCTGGTTAGTAAGGTAGTAATGAGAGATCTGCGGGCAGTAATGATACATCTATGAGTACATAACTAAAACCTGAGTTCTATGAGCGAAATCTGAGAGCTAAAAGCCGAGAGATCTAAGGTAAGTAATGAGAGAAGAGAATTTGAAATTTTACAAAATATGTTTACTCATACAAAATAATTCGCATTCTTTTATAACGAATCTCAATGCCAATTAATACATAAAACAGATTTTAGCAATCAATTGCAAGATTTAGAAAGATTTTATTTATAATCTCAGCCAAATTAACAAATATTTTATTGATTTCGTAAAAAATAGCAATAAAACATAAAAATATGACATTCTATTTTTCCAAAAAAATTTCAAAAATCATTTTTTAACATGAAATTTATATTTTTTAATTTTTTTTTAAATTTTGAATTTTTTTTTGGAATTTTCAACCATGTCAAAAGTCGGGATCTACAAATGTATTCTCTTTGACATAGGATAAAAACATCCTTTCTTATAATTTCATTGTAAAATAAAATTTTCTTAAATTTATTGAATCCAAACTCAACTTTGCAACATTTTATTATCATAAAAACTAAGAAACATCAGGTAAACTTCAATTTGGAGAGCTTAAAATCATATCTAAATTGAAAAATAAGGGGAAAAAAATTGTAAAAAAAAATCTCATTAGATGGGGCAAAAAGTGACTTTTTTAATGTGTTTTTTTAAAAAATCGTGCCAGCTGGCCAAAAAAGGTGTGCCAGCAGGCGTGCCAGTTTGTACAACCCTAGTTCTGAAAATATTTTTTTTTCGAAAAAATTCGAAAAAAATTCTTAAAATTCAAAAATCCCTTAATTCCTGAGGATTTTGGAAAAAAGTTTTTACATGAACATGTGTATATTATATGAAGTATATTGATAAGGTAAAAATCAAATTTTATTGCATATTCATCGAGAAAATAAACTAACGAATCCCTCAAAATTGAGAGGGTAATCCTCCTCCTCTCAAATAAACGTACATACGGGTGCACCCTTAAAAAAAAAGTCAATAAAAATTTTACATACAAAAACAATTTACTAATATATACAAAATTATTCATATTCATTGTCGTCATCTGAACCAGAAAGAACAATAATGAGGTTTTCATCCAAATTCTTAGTAAGAGCTTTGTTAATATGAGAAACATCAAAATTAGAAGCGTAATCAATTCTGATGTACTCTCCAAGTGTCTTTGATTGGTCATTAACTGCACAATAAGCTTGTTCGGCCGTGTAAAACTCAATTAAAGCGCAATTAAATTTTCTTAAGACTTGGACACATTTAATGGGTCCGTATTTGGAGAAGTAGTTGTACATCTTAGGAATAGTGTTGTTTGTATCAGATAAACCGCAAACAGAAATAATAAATCTGATTTCTTGCGGATTTTGTTTCGAAGAGCTGGAGTTTTGGTCTGATGGGGCTAAAGATGAAACAGGATTCTTCTTTTCGTTCTTTGGAAGTGGAATATCAAGGTTTGGAAAATCTGAGGATTCTGACTCGGAAGAAGAGGTTTTTCTATGTCTAGATTTACCTTTTGTCTTATCCTTATGATGCCTGGATCTTTTTGCGTCTTTTTCTTTTTCTTCATTTCTTTTATTTGATTTTTCTTTTTTACTCTCAGATTTCTTGGATTTTTTATCTGAATCGGATGATTTGATTTTCTTACTCTTTGATGAACTATGCTTTGGTTCATTTTCTTCTGAATCAGATGAAATATAAGATTCATAATCTGAATAAGAATAATCAGAATCATCACTGTAGTATCTGGAAGATTTTTTGTCCTTTGGTTTACCCTTTTCTTTTGACAGATTCTTTTCTTTTCCTGATTTCGAAGTTTTTTCTTTTGATTTCGAAGAATTTGATCGTTTTTCTTTTGGTTTAGATCCAGAATCACTGATTTCGTCGATTTCGCTTTCAGATGGCTCGTATTCATCTTCAGAAATTGAATCCGAATATGAAGAAGAAATTTGTCGAGAATGGTGCTTAGGTTTTAATTTTTTATCACTAGTATGACTCTTTGGTTTAGGACTTGGCTCGCTTTTATGTGATTTGTGTTTAGAATGCTTTTTCTCTTTTTCCGATTGTTCTTCATCATAATAATCAGAGTAATCAGATATTTCACGCTTCTTTGAGTTCTTTTCTTTACGATGCTTTCCTTCTTTCTTGCTTTTATCTTGCTTTTCTGAAGATTTGGCATGTTCTTCGTTTTCAGAGGACTCTTGAGGAATTGGTGATTTACTACGTGATTTTTGTTTAGAAACCTGTGGAATTTCTTGCTTGACTTGTTTCATTTCAATTGATTTTGAATTTTTTTGTTCTTGCGTTTGAGATTTTTTATTTGAGATGGATTGGATGGTATTAAATAGGGCATCTACAAACTGAAATGTCTCTTCGTTAATAATATCGTGTAATCTATCAGTAATATATTGCTGATTTTTACTTTTTTGGAGCATTTCCCATACAAATTTAGAGAATATCTTCTTGTCAAGTTCAATGCCATGCTCAATTACATATTGTTCCATCCATGGCCGAATTTCAAATTCTTTTAAACTCATTTTTTAACTTTTTTTTCTCGATTTCTCTGGCAAATTTTAAGAGATTATGTAAACTTCAGAATATTAAATTAAAAATTAATTGACGAAGTGATGCTAAAACAGTAAGTATTATCCAATGACACAATTTTTATGGAAAAATTTCAAAAAGAGATGATAAATTTTTCACAAAATCGTTCAATACAGATTTTGACTTTAAAAACAAGAAATAAATAATATATAAATGATTGTTATGAATTTTATATCATAAATTACTAAATTTAATTTCCACAATGGCTATCATGAAGATTTTGAGGGGAAAACATTCTTAAAATATCCAATGCAATCAAATTATCATAAAATATTGCTTGACAACAAGAATTCCGTTTTTTAATTAATTTCAGTAGATGTCTACGCCGCAAAATCAAGGCGCATATAATGGCGGTGGAGACAATCACACTACTATGTCATCATCTGCAGTCAAATTCGGTATAGATTCGGCTGTAAGTGATCCAAATGACCCTCATGTAAAAGAAAATCAGGAGTTTCAAGAGAGATTTCTAAAATTTCTTCAATATCAAGAATTAGATTCGGATGAAATCCCAACAGACTTTAACGAAGAGGAAGAAGAATCAGATTTAGCATTTTTCGATCTGAAAATCACAAAACCCGAGTGTTTCTTTGATGAAATTCAATCAAATAACAAATATATTACATACGTTTCAAACAAAACTGCAGAAAATGGAGCCAAGCCGTTATACCTTAAAGCTATTGATTTAAATGATGGTGTATATAGGTGGAACTACATTGAATGCAAAAATGCCAATGTGAATAGATTGAATAATCGCTTGATTTTAGACGATCCTAACAAAATTACATTCTTTAATGAAGAAGGCGAAATGAAACAAGATGCTCCTTTAGTACGTCAAACAATGCCATACGCTGACTTCAAAAAAGCCAAGAAAAAAGTTGATGACACACTTCTTTATAATTTTGTCCCTGGAACAATGATTCCTATTTCAGCAACTATTGTTTCGCGTTTTATTAGAATAGAAATCTTTAATATAGAGTTTGCTGTACACCCTTTATCTTCTAAAGCAACAATTCTTCAGAATCAAATTTTAGAATTATATCGATCAATAGAAAACGAAACAGAAATTTCTCGGATACAAAATTATAAATCTCGTATAGATCTTATCAGAGCACAGTTGAAAATCGTTAGAGATGATAATCGCAAAAAATTATTACAAGAAGTCGTTCGTTTACAAGAGTTAAGAGACTTCGAAGAACATAAAGTTAGAGAAATTCGTGATATGCTTCTAAATTCTTGGCACGCATTAAAAGAAATTCAAGAAAGTACTTTTATTATCGCTCCTTTCATTTTGAAGTGGGTTTCACGCAAAAGAAATGAATCCGAGCGACAATTTGAAGTTGCTCTCCTCGAAACAGATATAGGAATTCGTGCAAATGAAATTGCAGAACTCGAAGAAATTAATACTGGTAAGAAACCAAATACAGACAATATTATACAGACATTAAAAGATCAAAGAGTAAAATTAGGCTTGAGAAATCCAGGAGAAACGACTTGGGAGCCTGTTTTAAAGAAAATTGAAATTCCATCGGTCCAAAGGTTAACAATGGAAGAAAATAACAGAAGAAAAATGATAGATGAAACAAATTTATGGATACAAGCAAATATCTCTGATAAAAAAGCTATTTCGTCCGAATTCAAAATGAATTATTCGTTATACGCCGAATCTGGCATTGGGATACGCTTCCTTTGTACAAGAGTTCCAAAGGCGGTTCCAGTAGAAATATGGCAAGACGGTCCAACAGGAAAAACAGTAATCGCGACAGTAAATATCCCTGTTGTTAACGGTGTTCCATATCAGCCAATGAAAATACAGTTTACAAGTAGTCAACCAATTCATGGCTGCTTAGTCCAAGGAACAATTTCAGCACAAGGCTTCGTTGAACCAGATTTTGATGGCGGACAGACAGTTATCCACGAAATGTCTAAAAAGAAAGCAATAATGAAGGATTTGAAGTCCAATCCATCATCTTTCATTAGCGTACCTAAATTTGTTGAAACAACTAAAAATTCAGATCCAAATGATCCAAAACTCCAAGAAATTCTAAACGAAGCAAACGTTGATTTAGACCCACAAATAATTTCCAACCAGTTTATTCTCGACAAAGGTGTTATTGCCACGAAATTTTCTTCAATGGCCCCAATGATGGTCCACAATGAGCTTCCCCATAAAGTTTTCAGAAAGCCAGAGCCAAAACCTAATAATAAATCCGATACAAAACTTGAGGATGTCATCATTGATTCCGATAAATGGTCAGTCAAAGACATTTTGCATTCTTTGTGGTCCTTCTTTTTCGAAAAGAGAAGACCATTAAGTGTCAATCCAATTGACTTTCCATCAACAGAATACATCAGGCATGGATCTGTTGTCATTTCCAGATTGTTATCTGCAGCAAATACTCCTCAAAGAATGCAGATGTCCATCAAAAACTATGTTCCTCTTGAAAATTCCGCGAGAGTTTTCGCGAGAGTCTTTTTCGAAGGTGTAAGTTATTTAACAGACGCTGTTGACATGAAAGATGGTGCATGGAATGAATCAATCACATACGACATGGCTGAATTGTTTGGTTTGAAGACAGATGTAAAATCTATTGCAACTAAAACAATAAGAATTGATTTGTTCGATCATGTCAACTTGAAGCAAAACGAAAGAGACCAAAACATGCCAGAGAAAATCTCAGAAAACCACTTCTTGGCAACACTTGAAATACCTGTTAAATCATTGATATTTAATGGTGGAATTGATGACGTAATTCCTATGATTAGTCATCCTTTGCATTTCGGATATGAATCAATGTCGAAACCAATCATGATTAATCTCAATTTACAGTCGATTCCTCCATTAACATTCACCATTGACAGAAACAATTATATTAATACAGAGTCACAAGCTGTTGCTTATAGATTTAAATACATTTTGGATGCAAGAAAATCATCAAATCTTAGATACGTTGCTTTCTCGAAAGACGGACAAAACAAGCTGCAATTGATTTACAGGAACTTGTGCAAATTGCAAACACCTCCTAATTTCACAACTATTCAATCTTTGCTGAGATTTGTTTCTGCAATTCCTTATACAAGTGAATTCCCTGACGATCAAAATCCAACTGTAAAATCTCCTTCAATTGTCATGGAAGAAATGAGCGGAACAATTGAAGAACATGCAGTTATATTATCTTCATTCCTTGAAGCAAATAATATCAAATCGAAAGTAGTCCTTGGATATGATAAAGTTCACGGACCATCAGCTTTCGTTTTAGTTGATCAGAACCAGAAATATTTGTTGGATCCCGTCACGTGCAGAATCTGGGAAATGGGAGACAAGAAATGCACTTTGTATAGGATAGGAACAATATTTGATAGAACAAACATCTGGTTCAACAAACAGAATGTTGGAGATACTTGGAAATTATCATTTAATACTGATAACAATGATCTTTGGGAACCATTTTTCTACAGAAACTTCCAAGATGAAAAACTCCAAATTTCAGAAGAAATTAAACCAGTTGAATACGGAATTCAAGCATCAATGATTGCAGCTGAACTTCAAAAGAAGATTGAAGAAGAAGTTTGTGTTGCTGTTGAGCTGTTTAGATCTCCATCAAAGACAAGATGGGTCAATGATTTGTCAAAGAATTTGAGAAATGCTTTGAAGAAATGCGAAGAAGCTGCTTTGTCTAGTGAAGATTACAATTTCCAGGAGATATTTGATAATGTCAAAGAGAATTTCCCTGATTGCAGAATTATTGGATCTCCTTTCTTTGTCATGGCAAATAGCAGCAAAGAGAGCAGAATGAAAATGATCAACGAAATCAAATCAGAAATTAAACTGAGAGAAGTTTTCTTCACAGAAAATGAAAGTACACAGTTTGCTTGTGCTAGTTCAGTTCTTCCTTATCCACATGGAATTTTTGCTGTTTGGACAATTTTAGTATCCGTCAATCAAATTTAATTTTTTTTTAACATTTATTTGTTTTATTATTCTTTGTTGTTTATTGTTGTTTATTTTGTGTAAATATTCTTTTGTTTATTACTAATATATATTGTTTTTAAGCTTAGCCATAATTATCTTAAAATTCCATTTCTTAAGCCATCAATTAATCGAAATAGCTTTTACAGCTTAATTTTTGCATTGTTACAGCATAATACACACATATTTATCATTATGGAAATTGAAATTCCTTTAATTTATTTATTTTTACAAATTGGGATTATATTTTCAATGAAATATCATATGGATAGATTTATAGGCATACAAGTACTTTGGTTTTATCTAACTTGATGTTAGGTATTAAAGACTAAAATAGACATTTTTTAGAAAAAAACGAATCTTATTTGCTTTTTCATGAAAATGGATCGAAACAAATTAATGATAGAATTTACAATATAAAATGAATCATAAAATCATGAAATATAGAATTTGTTGAATAAGGGATTTAAAAAATGTCAGAATTTCGAAACATCAACCACTGCATCTTCATAACATGATTGAATATGCTATAATATGATGATTGTCGATGGATACTGGTAGAAATGAAAGTTCATCGTCTTATCCATGACATTAAATTTAATGGAATCTGTATTTGAATAGGCAGTATATCATAATAATATAAAAATTATTATCCTTTCTGGAGAATTAGTTATTCAAAATTTTCATCCGGTCGTTATGAAATTTTGAATACAATTGAAAGCGATTTCGGATGAAATAATAAACAAATTCATCGAACGTCATCGATGATATACTTTCGTGAAAAACTGGGAATTTCTCGCATATGTTCGTACATGAGCAAATACTATACCTTTTGCGAATAAAGAATTTTTTCATAAAAAAATTTTTTAGGAATTAGCATATCGGCGTTTTGCGACATTGCCAAACGCCAGATTTTAACCCGACATATGAGCATAAGCTCGTATATTGGAATAAACTCGACTTATTCCATATTAAAGTTATTATAATAATAAGGCACTTAATGTGCAAATCTAATTGAATTAGAAAATGCACATTAAGTGCCTTTTATTGGAATATGTAATACCACATATGGAATACCGAAATCCGAGCATCAATTAGGAATGAACTAGTGCAAATTTTAGAAATACAGTATTATGTTAAATTCAGGATAAAAATTGTTAGAAATTTATATTTACAAATGAGTAAATAAGTATTTTGTAAAGTTTTCGTTTGATTTTCAAGCTTGTTGGAGAAAAATAATGAAAATAATTATTTATTTAAGCAATTTACACTAAAACTTTTTATGGAAATTGCAGTTCTAGCAATGTCTTAGAATTTAATTGTCATTTAAAGTGTGAAATGCATTGATTTGCTAGTGAATGTAAATCGGGAATACAAAATTAATATAAATGAACGAAAAATCTTCTAAGAACATCCTAAAATCAATCACCCTTTGAGTGGCTTTCATAATATATCTAGATGATAAACCAGAAATTGAACCCGCATATGGGTCCCATTAGGATAAATTGTAAACTATTCAAAAATAGTTTACAAAATTAATATAGGTAATAATAAAATTTTTAATTGAGATAAATTAAAAAAAATCTTAGGAGAATGTTATGGATTTTCTTCATTGAACCATTCGATAAATGAGCATCTTTGCGAGCTATTTGTGTTCGAGAGTCTTGTACCATAAAGGTGGCATCTCAGCAGTTGAGCATCCCTTCAATGCATTGATATCTGTTGATGGAACAGAGTATGCGACTTCATCATTGATCATGATCCAATATGCACTTTTTTGCAAAAAGACCACGTAATTAAAATTGCAATAGGCAACAATTGCAATCAATTGATATCTTTGCCTTTCGACTGTTGGGAGTGTCAACTTTTTCGGGAAGTCAAAGATGACTTGATAAATCGAATCATTCTGCCACTCTCTCTGAATGTCGAAAGTCAAGAATTGTGGCCATGATGTGTTCCTTGTAGTTGACAAATGATATTGAATGGCATGATCGAGATCTGGTTCTCCAATTCTGGTGTGAATCGAGTAGCAATTTGTTTGTTCGTTGGCACTATCACGGTAAGTGATTCGGAAGAGTTGACCGATTCCTGGTATTTGCTCTGCGAGATCTGTGATCAATCTTGTCATCGTGTCATCACAATCTTGTGCCTCATATGTTGAGTTACCAAGTAATGTGGCAAGTTCATGGGGAACGAAGACTAATCCTTTGGACTTCAATGAATTCAAATTTGTAAAGATACTTGACATCTCTGTTACGATGGGAGAGGACTGATTGGCAACCTTCAAAACTTCTGTTCTCACTTCGGATATGTAGAACAGAACCTGTAAACATACGTTCAAATGACACGTATTTCCCATATTATGAAGACCAACAATACCACCTTTAATTGGGTAAAGGTAGTTCGCCTCTTGTGATGACTGTATGATATCGACAGCTTGATGAGCGACAGCAATGATGTTCCGCTTTGATGGTTTCATGGAGGGTGCAACAACAGCAGCGACGGTATCGCTTGAAGGAAGAACCTTTGTTGGTGTAAAATCTTCGAAAAGGAGTAACTCTTCATTATCATTCAGGGGTGATCCATCAATGTTATAATTTGTCAAACCGACTAAACCTGATATGATCAGAGGAAGTGATGTGCGCTCACCTCGAAAACCATTTTTCATGCAGGACCAGCATGACTTGAAACGTGCAAAGAAACGCTCGACAATCTGCCTGTCTTGGGCAATGGCGTTGTTGCGTTCAACGTCTGCTTCTTCGTGGCTTCTCTTCATCACCACGGCAGTAAGGTGATATTTCTGGATTCCAATATAGCCCCGGTCGGCAAGTACAGGATATTGGTAATCATCAAATCCTCGCTTTACTGTCAAAAAATCCGAGACTTTTGACAAATCGAAAATCTTCTTGTCATGGACTGCAGCCATAAACTCAACGTTTTGATGTATGGCTTTTCCATCTGGTGACACGAGGACTTGGAGCTTAATACCGTTGCAGTGGTTTTTTTCATCCCAACTATAAAGCCTCTCTTCCTTTACCGAAGGAATGTTGAAAGGAATTGTAGTGCTGTCTACAGCTGCAACAGCATCAGGGAAGTTTGTAAATTTGTTCTTCATTGAAGTTAACGGTGGACAGTGATTGGGAAGAAAATAGCTCGCAAAGATTGGAAATGCAACATTGGTAGTTCTTGTAACTAATTTGGAATAGCATGACTGGGAAATATGTAGCAACGGACATAATGCTGAATAGGGCAAGTATGTGCAGTAATATGTGAGCGTGAGGAAGAGAGACTCGATTGTTGAAAATTTGACCTTCCTTCCTCTTCTGGCCCTTCCACAGTTGGATTCAATAATGTCAGCGAGGTATTCCAACTGTTCATATGTGAAGTTGCACAATGATCGGAGCTGGAGCTTTGGATGCATCCTGATGAATATTGAAATCGAGAACCTGGGCATTGGATTGGTCAATGTCATCTCTTTTGCCTCTTCTTCATTTAATGGCTCTTCATCTGTGTCGGAATTCTCAGGTGTAACAGTAACAACAATGTTCGCCCTTCTGGATTCTTTTATCTTGGTGATGATATCTTCATCGCATGGTTCATCCATGTTGATAAATGAAGTGATTAAAAGATATAAAAATCTTATCAAATTTGAAATAGAGTTCAAAATTAATAAATAATGAAACCCAATCAATTTAATCATATCTAGATATCCTAATATATATCATTTTAAACTTGAAATTAAGAAACTGTGAAGAATTAAAAAACGTTTAAAATCTTTCATACAATTTAATCATATCTATATATTCTAGTATATATCATTTTAAACTCGAAATTAAGAAACTGTGAAGAATTAAAAAAACGTTTAAAATCTTTTAATAGAAATAGTTTATTTAAAAAATAAAAGTTTAACTGGTGCATAAGTAAAAATTAGATTCTCGAACTTATTATTATTTTTGATTGAAATATTAAAATAGTATTCCAATCAAAAATAATAATAAGTTCGAGAATCGTAATTTTAGAACTTTTTTACATTCTTCACGCCTGTAAAATATTCCATAATTACAGATTTTATTAATTACTACTTTTTTAGATACATTCTAAAGCTGGCGAAGCAACGCTAAAGTGATGATTAACAGTGAATCACTGCGACGACCCAACATAATATATTGAGATTAATTTTCTAGGTACGGTTGAAATGGCGGAGACCTTCTGGCTGTGCCTCAGAGCCCCTAAAATATTTCAAAAGAAATATTTCTACCATTTCGTCGAAAGATTAATCTCTGACTATGTCCGAGATAGCATCACTCAGGCGAAAGTATTACGCCGAGAATACCGATAGAAGTTTCTATCTAGTATAAGCGCCAGTATTTAGAAGAAAACATCTAAAAAAATGAACTATTTGTTCCATTCAATTATCAATTTTTTTTGTGAAAAAAAGAAATTTTGAAATTATACTTATAATATTGTTAGCATATATAAAATAAACATTTTGGGAAAAATTATAAAATTTTCCCAAAAATTTTCAAAATTTTTCCTAAATATTAGTCACCGTTACGGTTTTTTCTTTGGGGGCGAGCTTGCGAGCCCCCAAAAAAAAAAACCGTAACGGTGAGCTCACATTTCGGCATAGTTTAAGTCTAGGTTTTGCATTTTAAAATGTTTGTTACCTTATCTTCTTTCAAAAAGTGGCAAAAATTTGTTTGAAATTTGAAAAAGATATTTTTATTTGCATAAATGACATTCAACTAAGCTGTAGCATGATTCTTTTGCATGCTCTAGTTTTTTTCTCAGTTCAATCTCCTTCCATACTCTTGCTTTTACCAGTAAGATCGCACCAAAATTCTCAAAATTTAAGATCTCCAAATTTTATGTCCAACTCCAATTATCAAACGCCCTCATTAACGCCACTCATAGCCATCTTTCATGCATGAGAAATCGTTATGAGAAGATTTTTTACGGCTAATTATCTGATTCAATTCAGA